GTGTCTTTTGTGGTTATAGGTACATCTTGCGTGGGTATTTTATTAAGTGTTGACGCTGTGGTTGCTGTACCCGCTCCGGAAGCAATAAGACTAGCTTGCTGATTCGCCAGTTCTTCTGAATGATCAGTAAAGCTGATTAAAGTAAAAGTTAATAATAATAATTAATTATTGGTGTTACAATAAGTAATAATATTGTGTGTTAATCCTTGCCCTAATTCTGATTTGTTAATGACTCATACAAAACTGCTAAAATATTACATTACTCCAACTTAATGTAGTTCATGCAGTTTGATAATATAAATAGCGTTTCAACCGTTACTGTGTCAGTCGTATCTCAGCAGTGTTAATGAGCCCTAGTATTGGGCGAATGGCTCTCGTCAGCACTGGATATAGCAGGTTAATGTGTTTGATATATTGTTATACATTTCTTCTTTACTTTTACTTTTAGAATCGACATAACAAAAACCAAATACATCGAGCACTTTTGGAAAGTGGACTTTCCTGCGGGGTGGAAGAGTAACTGGCAAATAACCATTGTAAACATGTTATTCAGTTATGGGGTCGTTGTACCGGAAGCGATACGAGTCACGCGTTTCCAAGAATATGACGTAACTGTGAAATAGTACTGCAAGTCTGTGTGATGTGTAAACGATGGGAAACATAGAGAAAAAGTAGTTTCTAAATAAAAACAACTTACAAAAATATGTATTTGTGTAAGAAGTAATATAAAACAATTGGGAGATTTGTGAAGAAAAGCACATAATGATACAGGAAATAGAAGAGAGAAATATTAATAAAATTTAAGAAATTAAATATAATAATAATGCATATGTAAATGAGAACATAAAAATACACAGATAAATAGAACTTTTACACAGTAAAAGGAGTTTGAACGTCAATGATGCAATAATAGAGAAAATTCGTAAAATAATTTTCTGAGACTTTCAAGAAAAACTTTGAGTTATATGACGAAGACTATTAATATTGTGGTTAAGGCCATATCTAGGATTTTGGTTCTGGGGTAGTTATGCCTAAAAAAATCCCCCCTCCCCCACACACACATCATTTTGACTCTCCTCCCCCTTCTCTCTCTCTCTTCTTTTTTCCCGTGACCGTAGTCAATGGTCATTTTACATACTTTGTATGGTGACAGTGTTTAAGATACTGATATTTCACTGTTGGCTTCTGATGTAAATTCGGTTTCAATACCAAAAAGAACCATGTCATTGATGGAGTGATCCGAATGGTTAAAATTTAGAGCAACAAGAAGGCTTTGATAAAAGATTTATGGTTACTAAACCTTTATCTAACGGCAGTCTGGGTTTGTCCAACATATTGATGATTGTGTGTTTTGCACTGTATGACGTATCGTGTTTTGAGTTTGACAAGAGATGGGATTTGTAATGTTGTAGTGGTTTTTCTGTGTTCGCTAAAGAAACTACTGGCAGTTTTTATACACTTATAAGCCGGACATCGAATTTTATTACAAGGGAAGCATCCGTTCTATAGCGCGGTATAGTTAACTTTTGCGTGAACAAGGGTATTTATAAGGCTTTTGTTCGTTCGGAAGACATTCACTGGGCAGTAGAAGATGGAAATGTGTTTTTAAGTATTCAGGAATCATCTTTAAAGTTTGGATTATATGGGATAACCAGAGGATCTCTTTTAAATTGCTTGGGGTCAGGCTGGTTGAAAGCAACAACACGTGACATTTTGTCAGCTTTTTCAATTTGCTTTTCCATTTCAGTAACTTCATGATATAGTGTGTGTTAGGGCGTGATTGAGCCCTTTACTTAGTACAAGGGGAATAGCATGGCCTGGTGGTTAAAGCGCTCAAATTGCAATCGCGGGCTCGAAACCAGTCACCGAATATGACTGCCCTTTTAGACGTGAGGGCTTTATAATGTGACAGTTGTTCGTTGGTAGAGAGTAATCCAAGAGCTGGTGGTGAGAGGTGGTGGCTAGCTGTCCTCCTTCTATTCTTCTATCAATTCTTAATTATGGACAAGTAGTGCAGATAGCCCTCGAGTAGCTCTGCGCGAAGCGAAATCCAAAGAACAAACTTATTACACTTCCTTAGTTTAATTTCTGCGAATAATCATTTACTTAAGTTTACTCTTGTGCATTTAGGCATTTCCGTGTGTGTTAGGAGGCTTCTTGTTTTGAGAACCGACGAGTGAAGTGGCTTCTTTGTGTGAAGTCTTTTAGTATGTGCGAGTGTGTGATGGGATAAAGTCTGGATAGGTAAGCGTATATTGATGTTCAAATTTGATGAAGAGGAACCCACTTTGAGACTAATAATGCTTGGAGACGGCTTGAATGGGTAATGAAGAAAAACTTTAATATAAGTTTAACATAACAGCAAATTTACAACGTTTCGACAAAGTTTTGTCATCATCAGGTACAAGTAGCTTACACTGACACAGATATATATATATATATATAGTATGGAACAAAGAGGTCACATGACCAGATACTGTTGGAAAACCTAGAAGAGGTATCCTGGCACCCAGGGTGTTAGTTTAGAGTAGGGGTTGTTGTGTTCAATTAAGATGGATTCCTTGATTTTTTTTGTTTATGTTGGGTTCTTTGGGTGCCAAGATACCTCTACTAAGTTTTGCAACAGTATCCG